TTCAACACTTGATGAAGATCCTGAAGTCAAGAAAGAGAAATGCTCCCTCATCACAATTGTAAAGGAAGAAGACCCTTTGGAAGCGATCTTCAAGAGATTCTCATCCTTTTTTCGCCTAAAGAAATTCATCGCAATATGTCTGCGACTTCAACAAAGATTTCGCTCAAGAAAGGGGGCACAAGWTCAGAAGGCAAGACAAAGGGACGAGCTTATAACAGTCAGCGAACTTCGACATGCAGAACATGAGATACTTCGTTATATCCAAGGACAAGCATTTCTACAAGAAGCTGCAGATCTTTCTAAAGGCACAAATACCAGAAAGACAAGTCAGATTCTCAAGCTGGATCCGATTCTAAAGGATGGCCTGATACGTGTTGGTGGACGTCTAAGGAAGTCCTCGTTACCCTACAATTCAAAGCATCAAGCCATTGTTCCAAAGAATAGCTGGATTGCCACGTTGATCATTAAAGAAGCGCACTTGGTGACTGGCCACTCTGGAAGGGAATACGTGYTAACAGCGATCCGCCAACGCTTCTGGATTGTTCACGCCCATGCCTTGACAATGAGATTACTCTCGTCGTGTTCTGATTGCAAAACGAGACACCAGAAATCCAACTCACAGAAGATGGCTGATCTTCCAGCAGCAAGAATTACTCCTGACAAGCCTCCCTTCACGAATACTGGCATAGACTACTTTGGAACTTTTCTGGTGAAGCTCAAGAGATCATTAGTTAAAAGATATGGCGTCATCATCACATGCCTCGCCGTTCGTGCTGTGCACATTGAAGTTGCGTCATCCCTCGAGACCGACACATTTATTCTGGCATTGAGAAGATTTATAACAAGAAGAGGTCAAGTGAAAAGAATCTATTCCGATAACGGAACRAATCTCGCTGGTGGTKAAAGAGAGCTCAGAGAATCCATCAAGCTCTGGAACAACGAGAAAATTCATCARTTACTGTTGCAGAAGGAAATTGAATGGCATTTCAGCCCACCTACGGCGTCGCACTTTGGCGGTACTTGGGAGAGGTGCATACGTACCATACGCAAGRTTTTGAWCGCAATATCCAGTGAACAACACCTGGACGACGAATCGTTCATAACACTCATGACAGAAGTAGAGTCTATCATTAATGGACGCCCTCTGACCCAACCATCAGAGGACAACGAACAGCTGACACTCAATCACCTGTTGCTTCTGAATAGAGAGCTTTCGCTCTCTCCTGGGATATTTGACCGTAACGACTTGTACGTAAGAAGACGATGGAAACAAGTTCAATACCTTACTGACCTGTTYTGGAAAAGATGGACCAAAGAGTACCTGCACCTGCTACAACAGAGAACAAAATGGATGCAACCCAAGAGAAACATTGGAGCCAAGGACTTAGTTCTTTTGGTAGTTGAATCATCCCCACGCAACGCCTGGCCATTGGGTCGCGTACTCCAAGTTCAGCCTGATCCACAAGGGTTGGTAAGACGGGTTACAGTCGAGACAGCAAAGGGTATCTTCGAGCGACCCATACACAAGCTCTGTCCATTGGAAGCCTATACAGACGAATAAAAGCTCCAAGACTATGGATGCGTTCATTGAACAATGTTGGACAATTAATTTAACTTAGATATTTTCATATAGAGACTTTATTTAGTAGTCCTTACCTATGTTTTGGTTAAAATACGTATATGAAATAAGTATTTTAGGGGGCAACACCCGAAGAACTCCTGAAAACCTGGACAAGAGTACTTGAACAACTGGATAAGTGCAACCTCAGACTATCACCAACCAAGACTGTAATCTGTTCTAAGTCTTCAACGGTCCTCGGATGGGTTTGGTCCAACGGCCAAATCTCCGCAAGCCCACACCGCGTAGCCGTACTGTCCTCATGTACCCCACCTGAAACCGTGAAAGGCATGACTTCCTTCATCGGATCATACAAAGTTCTAAGTCGAGTACTCCCAGACTGCTCTTTATTGATAGATCCTCTCGAACAATCCATCGCAGGATTAAATTCCCAGGATAAACTTAATCTAGACGATAACCTACTTCATCACCTTCGACTTGCCCAACAAGCCCTCAAATCTACGAAAGCCATTACCTTGCCAGGTCCTACTGACAAACTCTTCATCGTGACAGACGATTCCGTCAAGAAGCATGGCATAGGCGCTACATTATACGCTCTACGAGGGAGACAGCTGCATCTGGGTGTTGGGTGTGGGTGTTGGGTGCTAATCGTCCTTCATGGCAGCMYRKGTGCTGAATTGYRARAGACGCAGCWSGACGCGCTCTCAAGTCGAAGTGCTATATTACAGACACATTTTACAGACACTTACACATAGGCGTGCTGCCGGCTAGACGCTTCCTTTACATAGCAACGAACGACTGAACGCGGAGCACAGCAGATAGAAATGGTTCGTTTTTACTGAGGGAGGAAAACCCGGAAAGACCCGGAAAAACCCTCGAMGCAAGGGAGAGAACGAAAGAAACTCAAATCACATATGGCGCCCCGACCGAGATTCGAACAGGGTCCACAGAGGTGACAGGCCAGCGCTCTCACCGCTCGGCCACCCATGCGTCCCACAAATCAGCATCTTGCTGGTTTCTTCAGCTCAAAGCTTCGCAAACATCAAGTAACCTGGCTCCCGTGTGAAATCGAGGCCCTGGGTATCGCCTCTGCTGTAAAACACTTCAGTCCTCTTAGTATTCAGTCAGATCAACGCAAGTAGATACCAAGTCTCCATACAGCACTTAGCTGGAAACGCTAATCTTCCATCCGACTTTGTTAGCCGAAACGCCCCGGAATGTAAAGAACCGTCGTGCCAAATATGCTCATTAATCCAAGAAGCTGAGGATTGCGTTGTCCGCGACGTTTCTGTTCAAGACATCATAAACAGCACCAAGTCTTTACCATTCACTACGAGATCCGCCTGGAGAGAAATCCAAAACCAGTGCCATGACCTGCGCAGAGTCCACTCTCACCTGAAACAGGGAACTAGACCATCCAAAAAATTGACCAACATTAAAGATGTTAAACGCTATCAACAAGTTTCCTCCATCTCCAAAGATGGGCTACTCGTCGTAAAACGCAACCAACCCTTTGTTGCGACTACTGAAGCGATAGTCATCCCACGTTCTGTACTCGATGGTCTACAGACAGCACGTCACGTACGTCTGAATCACCCTACACGTCACCAACTTGCGCCTCCCTACAGAAACTTCCAAGCTCACTGATTACTCAGTCATCAGAAGACCCCCCAGACGCCGTAGGAATCTCCTTCGCAGCCGACATCATAAAGCGACATCGCCAATTCATCCTATTACTACGGGAGTGTTCAACCTCTTACACCACCACGTGCTTCATTGACGACGAAAAGTATGCCACACTACGAGACGGAATAACCCGTTTGATTGTTGATCTCCACCCTATTGACGGCCCACGGGCGGTGATCCACGTAGACCCAGCTCCCGCCTTCCTATCGCTCGCAAATAATGACGGCCTTCAAGCACCTGAACATTTGGCTTGATTGGCCGTCCAAAAGGCAATACAGGAATTGGAAGAGGAATTCTTACGACTAGAACCTAGAGGAGGCCTCATCACTCCCACAGACCTCGCCGTGGCTACTGCTCACCTTAACTCACGTTTGCGCTACCACGGTCTCTCTGCCCAGGAACTTTGGACCCAACGGAGTCAGTTCATAGGAGAGCAACTCCCTCTGTCCGATTAACCGCAATATAATGGCCCAACATCACCAGAGATCGTCTAACCACCCATACAGCGAAAAGACCAAGATCAAGCCCAGTTCTGTCTCACATCAACCATCGTTACACGTTGGAGACATCGTATACTTGATCTCCGATCGCAACAAACTATGCGCTCGAGAGCGATACATTGTCACCGCAGCTAACGAACCTTGGTGCCAAATCAAAAAGTTTACAGGGTCACAACTACGTGCAACATCGTATAAGGTCAAGCTCAGCGAATGTTATGTCATTCCAACCCTGCAAACAACTGCCAGAGCACAAGAATTCGTCGATGACCCTGATGAAGATCTACCAGCCTTAGGTCACCACTTGATGAGCAACCAGCCACAGATCTGCACACAGAGCCGTACGAATCCCCACCTTCACCACCAGAAGTACTCATCAGACCATACCACGCCAACCCTGCGACACTTGACTTCCACGATTCCCAATACGAAGACTCCTACACACACACCAATCAAGACACAACGCAGATGACGACCCCACAACATATCCTGTCGAGTGATACACCAACTCTTAGAGATCGACCAAGGAATCTCTTCAAGACCATAGCGTACTAGGAAAATCCCAAACTACTTAAATGACAATGTCTTGTCTTAAAGAAGCCAAGCAAAGAATATTGCACAAACATAACATTATCAGTGAAACTAGTTGCTTTGTTAACCTTAATTTGTCAACATTAATATCGTTTTTGCATGTTCTTGTTTTGACCAACATATTGTCTGTAAAGGGAGAAGAAGAAGAAGTCACGCCAGCAGACTAATAGGTCTGCGGACAATTATCATTATGACCATGCCCACGCATGGAACGCCTTGTTGTTTATTATTTGTCGGTCAGCCATCTTTTTGCCTTTTTACTCGTTCACTAATATTAAAGGCTGTTTATCGTTGCGCGTTGACTTATTTAATGGCGCTGTGCCAAATAGTGTACTTTAATTAGGTCTCTGTGAATTTGCTTTGTAGCTATGTAGGACTTGAAATCTCGAGCTCTTTTGTTCTAATGATTTAATTATATCAGTTTAACTTCAATAGTCAGCTTTAGATATTTTAGTTCGATGGCTGTGTATACAAAAGAACGCACACGAGGCTCCTGGACAACAATGGATAATCTTGATTTATTTTTTTATTTCCCCAGCCTGCAATTCTTTTGTGCACTGTCACTGAACCAAAATTGTGGCTATTGTTTTCTAAGTTGCACAGTGTGCGTGGTGTGTCTAAATACATGGCGAACAATGGATGCGTACCTTACAAAAAGTAAAATCCACCATATCACGATCACTGAGAAACACTTTCTTAGATTCTGTGACGTTTAAAGGATTTGTGTTTTGACCATAAGAAATCCAATTCTTTCAAAAGAAAATGAAGGTTAGTAAAGCTAGATGATAAGAACAGAAAATGGAGGGGCGAGCTTGAAAGTCAAATTATTGAGAAGCCATTTTACCACTTTGAGTTTGCGGTGGATTCCAGAAAAGTGGATTCTTTCTCTCATGCATATTGCAAACGCTCCACCATGATTATTTTTGATCAGCCATAGGGCCATGGCATCGACTGGTGAACCACCCGATGACAGTGTTGCATGGACGTGAAGAGGTCGAGAGTAAAACTAGAGAGAGAGAAAAAATACGACTATAAAAATGCTTTCCTCCTAAAAACCATAGCAAGCACTGTGTATGGACAGAAAATCAGTTGAAGAAAAATCAATCATATACTTACATTATTTAGCTGAACGGTCTTGCATTGCGTCCCAGACCCCCAGCGATCAAACGTGACATCACCCTGTTCCAGTCCATTGACAGCGCCTTGCATCGCCAGCCAGTTGATCAGCWGAGTATCGTTTGACCTGACAACGGATTCACGTGCGCAAACCCWAAATCCACTCGAAGTCACGTGCTTTASCCATAATGACTCTGGGTTGATTATAGGCTGTTGGTCRTTGGATTGRMTCACGGAAGYAAGGATTCTGATGTCATTGYTACTTGGAAACGCYGTCTTAAAGTCAASTTTGAAACATCCAGGGTCGCTTGATGCTGYCTCATTATTAGCAAAGAATTTCCCTGACTTTACCGACCCACCTACCGAATATACATTATATCAAATTGAAAATACAGATTGAATAGAGGTTCTCCTGGTGAGACAATCATGTGAAAACCTTTACCTTTAACTACACAAGACAGCAGCAACAAAACAGCCGCTAGCTTGAGGATTTTCATTTGCAATGTGATTTTGTTGTATTCTGTAAAATAGTGGTATAGGTATTAAACAATGTAAAGCTTATCAATGGGAAAATTTATCAAACTATAGGGCGAATGAGCTCATCTGAACCACCGGCCATCATGCATGCTTCTTTATTCCTTGTATGTATTTTTTGTAGTGTCATTTATACTTTAATTTTTATTGTTGTAATTTTTAAGTTTGATATCTTGGGACGGACTAAGAGCGGCAGCCATGAGGCGCCATCTTAAGCTTGCAGTCTACCATGACTCTTTCATTGTAATTGTTTGTAATTTGAAAGCGCTTAGAGCAGATTTGTATAAGCGCTGTATAAAAATAAAATTATTATTATTATTATTATTATAAACTAAAGTTTGGAACGCCCATTTTCTCAACCTGGTCATTTTTCAATTTCTCCAACTGTAGAAATTTAATTCACCTGTTAACTATAGTTTTTTAATGATTTAGTGAAGTTTTTTATAATTTTTTACCCGCCTCCTCCCCCCACCACAGAAAAGTGTTGCTTTGTTCCACAGATACATAATCGAGCTCCTATACGCAAGATTGAATACCATTCAACGTAATCATCAGCAGGCGCGTAGCGTACTTTACGCATAAACGAACGTGTGTACTAGTGGCAAGGAAATATTAAAATGTTCACAAAAATTACTGAAAAATCCGCATAAAATTGATCCATTTTGTATGCCCTCCATTTCTCTCAAAACGCTGGAAATCGCAATTCCTATAGAGTTATTATTTCAAAATTTCCTATTTTCAGAATCCAGAATACCTTACTCCCGACTTTGAAACTCGAAAAATTAAATCTATTCATATTTTGTATATAGGTAAAGTTTGATTAGGTAAGAATCGCTGTGTAATTGGTTTTTGAAAATATTTCATTTTTCGCAAGAAAATCGCAAAACAATGTCACATACTAGTCCTTGGCGTGAAAAATACTTGATTGCTGAAAATAGCTCTCAAAATAGCCAAACTTCATACCGAGTACATGTAAAAAATAAAATAGATATTTAAAAAAAATTAAATTGCTGCTGTCTTAGAGTAGTTTTAATAAACCCGTGAACTGACAAAGTGTAATAATTAGAGTGTAATAGATCGTAATAGTCGCGTAGAGACAATAAAAAAACAAAAGAGCCAAAGTGTAATAGCAATAAATACGCTAAAGTGTGTTTCACGAGTTAACGAAAAACACTTTATTCACTCTTTTTATTTATTTCATTGATTTCCAGACCATTTAATTGAAAAGGAAGTTTTCTGGAACTCGAAGTATTTGCATATGTATTTTATATGCAAATTAAAACCTTTACAAAACGATCATTTTTTTAATGTGCAAGTATTTTGCTTGCAATAAAATTCGGAGTGATTACTAAGCAAGAGATGACCTTTTCAAATACGTAAAAATTCCTCTGGGCAAATCACTCTCAGTTGCATAGAAATGAATACTTCTGGCGATAATAATCAGTTGAAACATCAAATTTTTTAAACAACCGAAATTCATTTACATTGCCTAAAATTTTCAAATAAAATAAGCTTAACCCTTTGTATTATAATAACATACATTTAATGATGATCAGATGTTTATAAGCTTTGAAAATTGTTCGGTTAATACAATTGACAAAATACGCTGATAATTGTGACTAGAATAAGTCATTCCTACGCACCTGAGAGTGATTTGCCCAGACTAATTTTTATTTCTTTGTAAGGCTCATGCCTTACTTAGTAATCACTCCTAATTTAATTGCAAACAAAATACTTGCACATAAAAAATAGGCAGTCTAGGACTGCATGTGGCTAGTGCTAGCTAGTAAAATAGAAATCTAAGCAAAATATTATTTTTATTTGGTTAAAAGAAATCTATGCAAACCAGATTGAGAAGTTTCAAACTCAAAATTTCGAACATAAAGAAGTCAATGAAGCTAAATCATGGATTTGATAACTTCATGTGAGGTTTTGCTTTGGCAGAAAAAGTTTTTTTTTACTTTCTGTCGAGAATGTTTCGTTTTAATTTTTTTATTTCAAAAGCGATTCAATAAAATAATGGGGTCCCTGTGGCAAGGAATGACGTGTGAAGTCATTCCGAGTCGTTCCGAGCATGCTCGGATCTGCTCGGAACGTTTCGCTTGCGTAGTGACTGTTTGTTGATCAAATTTCCTGATTTATCGCTCTCATAATACATCAAAATACAATGTTAAGGCTGTAAAACAGTAAGACTTCGTCTCGGGTTTGCATAACCGTCTCGAATTCTCCCAACCTACCCTCGTGTTTGCATCAGGCTATGTAAACACGGAAAAAGTTATCTATTACTTAATTACAAGTAAGTCTACAACAACTAACATGAAAACATGCATGTATGCTGAAACGAAGAAATAATATGCACCTGAAGCTAAGAAAACCAGCAAGAGAACGACTTATAGCCCAGACCAGCAGTCGGTCGCGGTCAACAACAAAGCCGCCGTAGGATAAAGTATCATCTGAGTAAAAAAATTGGTTCGTTTTGCTAATAAGTCGTTTAATCTAGTGAGTCTTTGAATTCTAATATTTGTTTCGAGAGTATTCTCTAATTATAAACGATGATGTGATTTAGGAAGGCTTTTACACCCGATTTCAAATGAGTGCGAACTCTCTAATTTTTTTTCGGACGCTAAACTTTCACTCGACCGTCATTCACTCGACCACTTGGTAACCTGGCACAGCTTGAAGCGGGTTAAATTATCCAAGTATAAAAACCATTGTTAATGTATGTCTGTGGGCTAAATTCCTACGGTTTGTGATCGCACTACAAAACGAACTTATTGCAAAAACTAGTTTCGGTTTACTTAACTTTCTCAGCTCACAATTGCAGCGAAACAGTTGAAAAATAAATAGCGTGACAAACACTGACAAGCGCGCACTTTAAATCGCTTTTAGTGTTCGTTGGCTGTTCTTTGTTGATTTTACTAGTTTACTGATTAAAATGAAGAGGTTATCGGACGATATTCGGTGGAGGGTTATTTACCATTTGAACTTATTTACGGTTCAAGCATTAAGAAAACTTGTAGAGCGTTATTTGTAGGGAAAACTTTTGTTTGTAAAATTCGACAACTATGTTGCTGTACATACACGGCGTGCAGGAAGGCCTCGACTTCTCACATGTAAGTGTCATTGTAAACTTGTATTCAATCAATCAGGGTTTTTACAGTAATACGAATAAGAATATATTTACTTCTTCGAAAGAAGGTTACATTTAAACATAAGCTACTTCGTTTTCAACCTTTAATTCAAACAACAGTTTTGCAATTATTTTTTCGCTTGCTTGATAATTTTTTTATTGTAAACTTAAATTGTTTACATAACGAAAGAAAAGAAAAAATGTGTGTTTTAGGTCAACATAAGAATATCTTTTCAAGATGCAGAAAACAACACCCTCAAGTTCATGGTTCTTGCAAAGCTATACCTAATTGTGCAAAGTATTATTTGCATTCTGTCATAGTATGCCTCCGAACGATGATTGTTAATAGACATTGATTGACATTTGATATAGGAATTAGACTTTATGTAAATTACCCTCTCTTACACTGCTTTCACAGAGCACGTGTACATGATCACGTATAACTTGAATTAAAGCAATATAACTCACAGCTAAAGTTCAACATGGCGTCAGAAGTGGGATCACAAGCAGTTTAATATCAATCGAACCTGTTTCCAGCAACTTCAACTAAAGAATCAAGAGCTAGAGGAAAATTTTGACGTCCGAAATCAAGAATGGCTGACCGATTCACGCCGCCCACCATGGACTGGGAAAGTCCAGGAGACATATACAAACGATTCAAGCTTTTCAAACAGAAATGTGAACTAATCTTTGATGGCCCACTAGACAAGTCGTCTGAAGGGAAGAAAGTCCGACTCCTATTGCTTTGGATCGGCGATAAAGGGCTTGAAATCTACAATACCACAGCCTGGAGCAACGACGATGACAAGTTCAAACTTAAACCGGTGTTTGACCTTTTAGAAGCGTACACAAAGCCTAAAAGCAACCACATCTTGGCTCGCTTTCAACTAAGATCTCTCAAACAAAACGACATGCCTCTAGAAGCGTTTGTAACAAAGGCGAAGGGACTTATTGACGAAGGTGGTTATCACCCAAACTTCAAAGACGAAACTTTGCGTGACACTCTAGTTTTTGGATTAAACTCCGATAAAGTACGAAAAGACGCCATCGCGTTAGGAAACAAATTAACATTTCAAGAAATATATGACCTTGCTAAGACAGAAGAAAGTACGGCAGCCCAAATGAAAGCGATAACAGCAAGCAGCAGCGAAATAAGGATCAAAGAAACACACTCCGTACGAAGCGACACGGCTCAACATCCAGCGCCACAGGGAGCCCACAAACATCTCAAGATACCACAGGAACCCCAAACGCCTCGGAAGTTCAAGTTCAAATATAATGGATGCTTTCGATGTGGAGGCAAACATGACCGACAAGCACCATGCCCAGCTCWCAAAGCTACATGTAGATTCTGTAAAAAGAAAGGACACTTCCTTAAAGTATGTATGAAGAAAAACGTGAAACAAGTGAATGAAATTGTCGGTGACCCGAACTACAAGGGACAAGATATACATTTACAACCAGATCAGGGTGAAGAATTTGATGCTTACAACTACCCCTGCGAAGAMGAAGACAGTTCCAGCGACACTGAACCCATCACAGTAATCATTGGCTCTGTGTCTACAGAAAATACCGTACACAGTCTCAACAGCCACCAATACAGGATATACAAAGACGTCCAACTAAACCATAAATGCAATCTAAAGATGAAGATAGATACTGGCGCAGACACCTGCATATTAACCACTGATGACCTRCAACTACTACCTATATCGATCGATTTGCAGCCGACTGACAACGTCTTAAGAGGATATGGTGGATCAAAAATMGAAAACCTCGGAATTACGACACTGAAGGTGACCTATGGAAACAAAACGGTTGAGACACAGTTTAACATAGTTGAAGCACCTGGCAACCCTTCGA